GGCAGCCGGTCCGGTCCACGTACAGCTCTGCAGGCGTCTCGAGGTCTCGGGGTCGGCGTTGCAGCTCTACAGCCAGACGACCTGTGGTCGTCACAGCTTAGAGCAGTAGCAAGCCTCCACCACTGTGGTCATGGTCACTGCTGCTGCTGCCGCTTCGGTCACCGCCGCCTCCACTGCTGCTGCCCCCTTGGTCGGTGCTGTCCACGTGGTCACGGTCACCGCTGTGGTCACTGCTGCCGCTTCGGTCACCACCGCCTCCACCGCTGCTGCCCCCTTGGTCGGTGCCGTCCACGCAGTCATGGTCACCACTGCCGGTGCCACTGCTGCCTCTGAGCTTCCCCAAAGAATCCCCAGGAGTCAGATGCGGACAGCAATGTTTATTCGAGCATGCCCAGGTCTCCGAAGAAGTGGAAAGACCCCGAGCCTCCAAACTTTAGGGTTTTTATACAAAAATCAGCCAATCAGAGGGTATGGGATCTTACACTAATGATTAATTCAAAAGGTGGGTGGAGGCTTTGTGTGGTTGATGGGACAAATGTCAAATAGGCAGGATGGTCCCATCAGGGTGCCTGGGCAAATGTCCCCTAAATTGTCAGGCCTGGAGTCACACAATTTCTTAGCAGAGCAAGAGAAGCAGGAACACAGCAGTTAGCACCGAGCGGGGCAGATGGTTAGAATTTTGGACTGTGGGTTCCTCGGTGGTAGTCTGGGGATGCCAGCTTTGCAGGCAGCTGTACCACACACTGGCTGTTTCCCTTGAGGACCAGTGGCGTTCCCATGTTATTTATTTATTTATTTATTTATTTATTTATGTATTTTTGAGGTTTATTTCATTTGAAAGGCAGAGTTAGAAAGATGGGAAAACTTTTTTTAAAAAAGATGTATTTGTTTATATTGGAAAGGCAGATTTTATGGAGAGACAGACAGAAAGATCTTCCATCTGCTGGCTCACTCCTCAAGTGGCCACAACAGTTGGAGCTGAGCCGATCTGAAGCCAGAGCTCTTCCAGGTCTCCTATGTGGGTGCAGGGTCCCGAGGCCTGAGCTTGTCCTCTGCTGCTTTCCCAGCCATAGCAGGGAGCAGGAGGGGAAGCAGAGCAGCCAGGACACTAACTGCACCCATATGGGATGCCGACACTTGCAAGGCAAGGATTTAGCCACTGAGCCATCATGCCGAGGCCGAGAAACAAATCTTTCATCAGCTAGTTCGCTCCCCAAATGACCACAACAGCCACAGTTGCACTGGGCCAAAGGCAGGAGCCAGGAGCTTCAGCTGGGTCTCCCGTGTGGGCAGCAGGGCCCCGAGTACCTGGGCCATCCTGTGGAGCTTTGTCCGACACGTCAGCGGGGGGCTGGGTTGGGACATGAGCTGGCACCCACGAGAGATCTGGGGTGTCTGCCAGAGTGCTCGACCAAGTTCTCCTTCGAATGTGTGTCCTTCCCGCTTGTCTTTAAGGTCCTGGTAACTCACAAAACTGGCTTGGGTGTTAGTGAGGAGCGCTCAGGACGCAAGCTGAAAATGACTTTCCCCGGGGCTTTGCATGGTAACCTCGTGGCAAAGTCCTCACCTTGCATTCACTGGCATCCCATACGGGCATCAGTTTGTTTCCTGGCCATTCCACTTCCCATCCAGCTCCCTGCTTGTGATCTGGGAAAGCAGTAGAGGATGGCTCAAAGCCTTTGGTCCCTGCACCCACATGGGAGTGGAAGAAGCTCCTGGTTCCTGGCTTTGGAGTGGTTCAGTTCCAGCTGTTGTGGCTACTTGGGGAGTGAAATCAGTGGACAGAAGATGTTTCTCTCCTTATCCGACTTGCCGTTGTCCTGTGATTTGGCTTGGGACAGTTGGGACTATGGACAATGCTTGTATTTCATGTTAGCGTTTTCTCTTAGAGCCTGTGTAAGTGGCTAAGGACCTGTTGGTTCTTCTCCCCCTAGCCTGACATTTATCCGGGAAACTGCTGGGCATTCAAGGGCTCCCAGGGCTACCTGGTGGTGAGGCTGTCCATGCCCATCTGGCCAACCACGTTCACACTGGAGCACATCCCCAAGGCTCTGGCGCCCACCGGCAACATCGCCAGCGCCCCCAAGGACTTTGCAGTCTATGTGAGTACAGCCCCCAGAGAAGACAGCCCTCCCCTGGCACCCACCAGCAGTGCCAGGCTGGGTTAGGGTTAGCACAGAGCCACCACCGTCCTGAGGCACCCTGTGTGTCGTGCACGCAGGCGGGGACATGCCTGACGGTGTTGCGGCCCCTGTGGGCTCAAGCAGCCAGGGCACAGAGGACAAGGCGCATCGGGATTGGGGAGGCGCACTCAGGTCCTGAGGAGTTGCCCTCCGTGCCCTACCACCTCTGGTCTCTTTCCCTTCAGAAAGAGCTCTGGGGCAGCTTTGGCCACCAACACCTCCCCAGGCCAGCTGTACCCTCACCCATGTCTTAGATAGTCCCGTCTGCCCTTCTCCATTTCAGGGCTACACATGCCTGCTACCCAGTGTCTCCTGTGGTCTTAGGATGGCCAGTATGTTCCTGGGTTCTTGTTCTTTTATTGTGATTAAACTGGCTATGATGTCCACCAGTGGCATTTAGGGGGCACACTGCATCTGCCTGCACCTCCCCCTCAACCCCGGCTCATAGTTCCCATTGTCTGAGCACAGCCGAGGGCACATGGCCTGCCCTCTGCTGCCTGCCGGCCTGTCGCCATGGGTTGTTAATGAGGCTGCACCCTGCTGGCTGGGCACAGCATACGCCCTAGGTCAGCCCTCCGTGGGTTAGTGACTGTGTGGTCTTGGTTTCAGGGTCTGGAAAGCGAGTACCAAGAGGAAGGGCAGTTGCTGGGACAGTTCACCTACGACCAGGATGGTGACTCACTGCAGATGTTCCGTGTCCTGGTAAGGCCGGTGGAGCTCCCCTGGGGGCCACTGCGCGGGCAAGGACCCGGTGGGGGCCTGCTGCCCTTGCGAGCTGTAAGCGTGTTCTGCCTTGCTCTCAGCCGAGGCCCGACAAAGCTTTCCAGATGGTGGAGCTGCGGATCCTGTCCAACTGGGGCCACCCCGAGTACACGTGCCTCTACCGGTTCCGAGTCCACGGGGATCCCGCCGAGTGAAGCCTGGCACTGCTGTGTGTATTTCTGTATATACTAAGAGCCAGAAACACTGGAACCCTTCAGGATGGAGGCATGGCCAATAAACGTGACCGGACACCTGTGTGGGTGCCATGGTCTGACCGCAGCCCGCCTGCGTAGCACCTTCTGGACCCATGTGCAGGGCGTGGCAGAGACGTCCAGCACACTACAGGGCCCACATCTGGGAGGGATGGGCATACTTCCTCCTGGGTCTGACCCCCCTTCTGAGGGGCCCACGCGGGACTCTGCTGACATCAAGTGGACCCCAACCCCACCACCTTGGGCTGTTCCCAGCAAACCCCAGGGTGTCCTGCCCGAGGCGGCTGTGGGTCCTGGCGGGCAGGCTCACAGCTGCTGGACCTCAGGGCCCTCGCTGCCTGGCCCTCGGTGGGCTTGGCCCTTTGCTGCAGCTGTCATCTGTTCTTCCTGCTGCTACTGGGTCCCTTTCTGGTTACTCTTGATATTTAATATTTAGACAATTTCACAGAGCTGACTTTATAATCCAGGTGGTGCCAGGCCCTTGGGACCACAGGTGTGTCGCCTGAGAACTCTTGATGTGCCGCAAATGTGTTTTCACACAAACTGATGGTGCGGAGGTTCTGAGTCGTGTCGCACAGCACAAGGCCACAGAACTCACCTATGCAGTGAAGCTGATAAAACGTGTACACGTTCCATACAGATTACAGCTTGCATATAGACATCAGAATTTCCTATATTAAACTAAATTTGGGAGTTGGGGTGGAAATATTTTGAATATTTATTTTTAAAGATAGCAGTTTGTGCAATGTATTTTTGTAAATGCTTTTCAAAATGCATCTTTGGTAATGCTGCTTTTGCTGACACCAAATTGACAAGATGACCGAAATGTTCTAATAAAGAGTTTTAATTTTTAACAGTGCATGTGATATTTCAGATGAACAATAAACCGTTTTCTTTCCTCCATTTCTCTGTTTCTGTACCAGGAACGGGGTGGGGGGAGTCCCAGGGCTAATCTACCTGCAGGCGGACCTGTCCAGGGCGGTCCTGTCCGGGTGGACCTGGTCAGGCAGACATGCCGAGGTGGTCCTGTCCAGGGCGGTCCTGTCCGGGTGGACCTGGTCAGGCAGACATGCCGAGGCGGACCTGTCCGGGTGGACCTGGTCAGGCAGACATGCCGAGGTGGTCCTGTCCAGGGCGGTCCTGTCCGGGTGGACCTGGTCAGGCAGACATGCCGAGGCGGACCTGTCCGGGTGGACCTGGTCAGGCAGACATGCCGAGGCGGTCCTGTCCGGGTGGACCTGGTCAGCTGGACTAGTCCAGCACCCTGGGAGTAGCAGTATGGGGACCTCTGCCAGCTCCACCATGTCCCACCCAGCTCGCCTTTTACTTTGTTAAGCAACAGAGGGAGAGATGCCTGTCCCCTCTGGCTGCACTCCCCGGATGGCCGCAGGGCCTGGCCGGAGCTGGGCGCCCGTGCCCAAGGGCGGGCCGTGGGGCGAGATCGGCCACTCCTGGGCAGCCACGGCCCCAAATCATGTCTCGCCCTGGGCTTCCAGTCTGCAGGTGGAATCCCGAGGGTCCGGGCAGCAGGCGCGGGGGTCGCCGCGGTGGGTGCTGCCCCCCGGCCGGGGTCTCCCCGTCCCTCCCGCCGGGCCCTCTCCCTCCCCGCTCCTCCTGGTCAGCAGGTCTCCCGGCTCGGTCCTCCCTCCCCGTCCGCGCTCCCCACGCCCAGGCCTCTCCCGTCACGGCCGCGCCATAGTGCCGGGGGCGCCGGCGTCACGTGGGCCCCGCGGTCACGTGGGCCGGCCGGTCACGTGCGCTGCGTGCGGCGCGGAGGGCGTGGCGCGGACGGAAGCCGGGAGGGCCGAGCCTGCGAAGCGTCAGCCCCGCGGAGCGCCGGCCCATGGCGGCGGCGATGGCCGAGCAGGACGGCGCCCGCAACGGCGCGCGCAACCGCGGCGGCGTCCAGCGCGTGGAGGGCAAGCTGCGCGCCAGCGTCGAGAAGGGCGACTACTACGAGGCGCACCAGATGTACCGGACGCTCTTCTTCAGGTACGCCGGCCGGGCCCGGGCCGCGCGGCTCCAGGGGCGCTGGGGGCACTTCACCCGGAGCGGGGGTCGCGTCCAGCTTGCCGGGGTCCGCGGGTCCTGCCCGGGGAGGCCGCGCGGCCTGGGGCCGGGGGAGGGGGTCGGCATGTCCACCTGGGGGCGAGGCCGCATGTCCACCTGGGGGGACCAGGCCGCATGTCCACCTGGGGGGACCAGGCCGCATGTCCACCTGGGGGCGAGGCCGCATGTCCACCTGGGGGGACCAGGCCGCATGTCCACCTGGGGGGACCAGGCCGCATGTCCACCTGGGGGGACCAGGCCGCATGTCCACCTGGTGGGACCAGGCCGCATGTCCACCTGGGGGCGAGGCCGCATGTCCACCTGGGGGGACCAGGCCGCATGTCCACCTGGGGGGGGGCGAGGCCGCATGTCCACCTGGGGGCGAGGCCGCATGTCCACCTGGGGGGACCAGGCCGCATGTCCACCTGGGGGGGACCAGGCCGCATGTCCACCTGGTGGGACCAGGCCGCATGTCCACCTGGGGGGGACCAGGCCGCATGTCCACCTGGGGGGGCGAGGCCGCATGTCCACCTGGGGGGAGGGGACCAGCACGTCCACCTGGGGGGACTGAGGCTGGCATGTGCATCTCCTGGAGGGGGCGAGGCCACATGTCCACCTCTTGTGAGGGATGAGGCCGCATGTCCCCCCGGGTGGACGAGGCCGCTTGTTTACCTCCTGGTGGGACAAGGCTGCATATCCACCTGGGGGGACGAGGCCGCATGTCCCCCAGCGTGATGGGAATGAGGCCGCCATGTCCACCCCCAGTGGAGGGGACTGGCATGTCCACCCTCTGAAGGGACGAGGTCAGCACTGCCCATCCCTCGGGGGCAAGAGGCTGGCATGTTCACCTCGTGGGGGTAATGAGCCCGGCACTGCCCATCTCTTGGAGGGAGGAGCCGGCATGTTCACCTCTCGGGGAGATGAGGCTGGCATGTGCCCCTCCACGGTCAAGGCCAGCTCTGCCCAACCTCCTGGGAGCACGAGGCCAGTGTGTCTCCCTCCAAAGTCAAGGCCGGCACTGCCCACCTCCTGAGGGGGCGGCGATGAGGCCAACATGTCCACCTCGGCAGAGACGAGGCTGGCATGTCCCTCTCCGGGGGGTGAGGCCAGTGTGTCCCCCTCTGGGTCAAGGCCAGTACTGCCCACCTCCGAGGGGGGTCCAAGGCTGCCACTGGCCACTGCTGGACGTGCGGGCGTTGTGTATGCAGCCCAGTCGGCATGGTCAGGAGTCCCTGGCTCTGGCCTTGGGTGGAGCGGTGAATCACTGTCCTGACTTCTCAGTGACTGGAAGGACAAGCCTGGTTCTGGAGCCTTCTCTGTGTTAAGGCCAAGCTTCTGCTGGCCGTGTGTGGGTTTGTCACTGAGTGTGCAGCTGCTGGGGACAGTGGGGGAACTGGTTTCCCCTGAGGTGGCGCAGGCTTCCTGCTGCCAGATGGGCTCGGCATGGCCCACGTCCACAGGATGAGTTGGTCAGCACACTGGCCACCGGTGGCTGGGGTCACCCTTGGGTCTGACTGCCTAGTGAGCAGGGTGGATTGTCTCTGGGGCCTGAGGTGTGGCAGGGCTGACAGTGCGGGCGCACGGCTGCAGGTGGAGCTCCCCAGAAGTTCCTTGTCGGGGCCCGGTTCTGAGACCCTCTGTTGGTGGTCCAGGCTGAAGCCCACCCAGGTCTCCGTGCCGGAGCAGGGTGACGCTGGGTGCAGGAGCACGTGGGGTGGCCCTGAACGCTGTGTTGTGATGGGGTGTCGGCACCTCAGTAGACCTGACCCACCACCACGGCTTGGCCCCTTAAGCTGGTAGCTAGCCAATGTCCCTTGAAGGAACATCGGAGGAAGTGGCCTGTGCCTCGCTGTGGGGCCCGGATGCCTGGGTCTCGGTGCTCCTTGGCTATGGGGCCTCGCGAGGGTTGGTGGGGACCTGCGCGTCCCCCAAGAGGACGGCTTGTCACCATGCCTGCCCTTGCAGCGGCCTGTGGTCCTCCCCTGCACCGTCTGCCACTTGTCACCCCAGGCAAGGTCACGGAAGTCACCTTGTCCGTGGTGTGCCATGTCCCACGGAGGGCAGGTGTGGCCAGCCTGGCAGCTGTGACTCGGCCAGTGGCATCAGTGTCACAGCTCTGCCTGAGCTGGCTGGGGACGCAGGTGGCTGTCAGCACCCTAGCTGGGAGCTTCCTCCCGGCCTTCCACGAGTGCAGGGTTCCAAAGCTGCTTTCCCAGGTCATCAGCAGGGAGCAGCCGGGATGTGAACCGGTGCCCATACAGGAAGCTGGCACCGCAGGTGGAAGATTAGTGTGCTGCCCTCATTTGTGATGGTGTAAAATAAAGCAAAGTAAACCCCAAACACTGCACGGCTGCCCTGCTGTGAGCCCACTGTAGTGCGTAGCAGCACCCCGAGTGAGACACAGCTCTGTCCCTTCCATGGCCCAACAGCTTGGGTCTGAACTGGGCAGAAGTGACAACCTCATCTGCTTCAGGCTGGCCGCTGGTGCCCAACAGCCAGGTCCCTGGCCCAGGAGTTGGCGCCTTCACTCCAGGGGCCTCCCCCACCCCGCCCTGTCTCCTGAGCCGTCAAGCTTTGCAGAGGTCTCGGACAGCGAAGTTCAGAACTGTGTCCCAGAACCAGTGTGAATACACCCCGTCCCTCAAGTACCTGCTGTACCTGGAAGGCAACTTTTCCCAGCTTCCTGAGCAAGCCGCAGTGTGGACAGGGCCCAGTGGAGTCCCCTGTTCCCAAGTGCGCAATGTGTGGGTCCCCTGCTCCTCCCTGTTGTACCTGCTGCCCGAGTGTGCAGAGGTAGCAGGCGGGCTCTGCAGCGTTGGGCCACAGTGGCTTCGGGGAACAGCTGCAACCCTGAAGAGGCCTGCTGGGCAAGCAGCTGCAGCAGTGGACCAGCCGGGGCTGTGCTCACAAAGGGGGTTATGGGCCAAAGCTGCGCTCACACAGGGGGGGGCACGGGCCGGGGCTGCGCTCACACGGGGGGGGGCAGGGGCCGGGGCTGCGCTCACGCTGGGGGACACGGGCCGGGGCTGCGCTCACATCGGGGGGACACGGGCCAGAGCTGCGCTCACGCCGGGGGACACAGGCCGGGGCTGCTCTCACATCGGGGGGACATGGGGCTGCGCTCACGCCGGGGGACACAGGCCGGGGCTGCGCTCACACAGGGGGGACACGGGTCGGGGCTGCGCTCACACGGGGGGACACGGGCCAGGGCTGTGATCACGCCAGGGGGACATGGGCCGGGGCTGCGCTCACATCGGGGGAGACATGGGGCTGTGCTCACGCCGGGGGACACGGGCCGGGGCTGCGCTCACATGGGGGGGACACGGGCCAGAGCTGCGCTCACGCTGGGGGACACGGGCCGGGGCTGCGCTCACATCGGGGGACACGGGCCGGGGCTGCGCTCACACGGGGGACACGGGCCGGGGCTGCGCTCACGCCCGGGGGGACATGGGGCTGCGCTCACGCCGGGGGACACAGGCCGGGGCTGCGCTCACACAGGGGGGACATGGGGCTGCGCTCACATCGGGGGGACACGGGCCGGGGCTGCGCTCACGCCGGGGGACACGGGCCGGGGCTGCGCTCACGCTGGGGGACATGGGGCTGCGCTCACACAGGGGGGACATGGGGCTGCGCTCACACAGGGGGGACACAGGCCGGGGCTGCGCTCACGCTGGGGGACACGGGCCGGGGCTGCGCTCACACAGGGGGGACATGGGGCTGCGCTCACGCCGGGGGACACGGGCCGGGGCTGCGCTCACACAGGGGGGACATGGGGCTGCGCTCACATCGGGGGGACACGGGTCGGGGCTGCGCTCACATCGGGGGGGCCATGGGGCTGCGCTCACGCCGGGGGACACGGGCCGGGGCTGCGCTCACACAGGGGGGACATGGGCCGGGGCTGCGCTCACACAGGGGGGACATGGGGCTGCGCTCACATCGGGGGGACATGGGGCTGCGCTCACACAGGGGGGACACGGGCCGGGGCTGCGCTCACATGGGGGGGACACGGGTCGGGGCTGCGCTCACGCTGGGGGGACATGGGGCTGCGCTCACGCCGGGGGACATGGGGCTGCGCTCACGCCGGGGGACACGGGCCGGGGCTGCGCTCACACAGGGGGGACATGGGGCTGCGCTCACGCCGGGGGACTCGGGCCGGGGCTGTGCTCGTTCACTCCTCCCCCTGTCTTGCAGGTACATGTCCCACAGCAAGCATGTGGAGGCCCGTGAGCTCATGTACTCTGGAGCCCTGCTGTTTTTCAGCCATGGCCAAGTATGCAGCCTGGGTCCTGTCCTGCTTGGGGAAGTGGACTGGTACATGGGTCCTGGGGTCCTCTGCCCCCTGGAGGAGTGGACTGGGGGGACAGGTCCTGGGATCCTGCCTGCAGGGCTGCCTATGGTGGCCATCATGCGTGTCTGGGGGCTGAAGTCACTGCCCCACTGGCTGGCATCTGCCCTGGACGTGGCCAAGCTTCGTGTCTTGTCTCATAGCAAAACAGTGCCGCAGACCTGTCCATGCTCGTCTTGGAGTCGCTGGAGAAGGCGGAGGTGGACGTGACCGAGGAGTTGTTGGGTGAGCAGCAGGCTGTCTCGGGCCCCACCCTGGTGGCTCCTGGTCGGGATTACTTGGGTGATGCTGTGTCCCTGTGCCAGCCCCTCAAACAGTGTGGCAGAGCTGTCCCCGTTCTATCCACTCAGTCACGGTTCTCAATGGGCGGTGACTGCCCAGCCATCCAGCCGGCTGGGCACCCTTCTGACCCGGGACGTGGCTTGTTGGCCCGTCCATTTGGTGACTATGCAGCTGACCACACCCTTCTGAGCTGCCCAGCTGCAGGGTGAGCAGAATGCCAACCCAGCCTCTTCTGCTCATGGACACAGGGACCCTTCTCCTGCCCATTCCTGATTGACACCCCTACATGGACACCCTGTGGCCTCTGGGTGCTGTGGGGCCAGCAGCCCGCCCTGCTGGGAACAAAACGGGGCCAGCTCCACTGCCGGGAAGCCAGGGGCTGGCCAGGCAGCACAGACATTGGGGCAGGTGCTGGCTGCAGCCGGGGCAGCACTGTGTGTCCAGGTCCTGATGCTCTGTGTGTTTGCAGAGAACCTGGCCACCGTGTTTAGCCTGATGGACCCCAATTCTCCAGAGCGAGTGGCTTTTGTGTCCCGAGCCCTCAAATGGTCCAGCGGAGGCTCCGGGAAGCTGGGCCATCCCCGACTCCACCAGCTGCTGGCCCTCACGCTATGGAAAGGTGAGGCTGGGCACCCCATGGGGGCCTTCCAGTACTTCCTCAGGCTTTGAGCGCACTGTCTGGGCCAGTTGGTGGAGCTCACCTGTCTGTCCAGACTGGTCGGGAGATTTGAGGAGGGACAAGGGGTGGCCAGAACTCCCTGTGAGCACAGCGCCCCTTCTCCTCATCCCTGACACCCCCACATGGACACAGCGCCCCTTCTCCTCATCCCTGACTGACACCCCACATGGACACAGCGCCCCTTCTCCTCATCCCTGACTGACACCCCCACATGGACACAGCGCCCCTTCTCCAAATCCCCGATTGACACCCCCACATGGACACAGCACCCCTTCTCCTCATCCCTGACTGACACCCCCACATGGACACAGCGCCCCTTCTCCTCATCCCGACTGACACCCCCACATGGACACAGCGCCCTTCTCCTCATCCCTGACTGACACCCCCACATGGACACAGCGCCCCTTCTCCTCATCCCTGACTGACACCCCCTCATGGACACAGCGCCCCTTCTCCTCATCCCCGACTGACACCCCCACATGGACACAGCGCCCCTTCTCCTCATCCCTGATTGACATGACACCCCCTTATGGACACAGCGTCCCTTCTCCTCATCCCCGACTGACACCCCCACATGGACACAGCGCCCCTTCTCCTCATCCCCGACTGACACCCCCACATGGACACAGCGCCCCTTCTCCTCATCCCTGATTGACATGACACCCCCCTCATGGACACAGCGTCCCTTCTCCTCATCCCTGACTGACACCCCCACATGGACACAGCGCCCCTTCTCCTCATCCCTGATTGACATGACACCCCCTTATGGACACAGCGTCCCTTCTCCTCATCCCTGACTGACACCCCCACATGGACACAGCGCCCCTTCTCCTCATCCCTGACTGACACCCCCACATGGACACAGCGCCCCTTCTCCAAATCCCCGATTGACACCCCCACATGGACACAGCACCCCTTCTCCTCATCCCTGACTGACACCCCCACATGGACACAGCGCCCCTTCTCCTCATCCCCGACTGACACCCCCACATGGACACAGCACCCCTTCTCCTCATCCCCGACTGACACCCCCACATGGACACAGGGCCCGTTCTCATCCCTGACTGACACCCCCTCATGGACACAGGGCCCCTTCTCCTCATCCCTGACACCCCCACATGGACACAGCGCCCCTTCTCCTCATCCCTGACTGACACCCCCACATGGACACAGCGCCCCTTCTCCTCATCCCTGACTGACACCCCCACATGGACACAGCACCCCTTCTCCTCATCCCCGACTGACACCCCCACATGGACACAGCGCCCCTTCTCCTCATCCCTGACTGACACCCCCACATGGACACAGCGCCCCTTCTCCTGCACATCCCTGACTGACACCCCCACATGGACACAGCGCCCCTTATCCTGCACATCCCTGACTGACACCCCCTCATGGACACAGGGCCCCTTCTCCTGCACATCTCTGACACCCCCTCACATGGACACAGCGCCCCTTCTCATCCCTGACACCCCCTCATGGACACAGCGCCCCTTCTCCTCATCCCCGACTGACACCCCCACATGGACACAGCGCCCCTTCTCCTCATCCCTGACTGACACCCCCTCATGGACACAGCACCCCTTCTCCTCATCCCTGACACCCCCACATGGACACAGCGCCCCTTCTCCTCATCCCCGACTGACACCCCCACATGGACACAGCACCCCTTCTCATCCCTGACTGACACCCCCTCATGGACACAGCGCCCCTTCTCCTCATCCCTGACTGACACCCCCACATGGACACAGCGCCCCTTCTCCTCATCCCTGACTGACACCCCCACATGGACACAGCGCCCCTTCTCCTCATCCCCGACTGACACCCCCACATGGACACAGCGCCCCTTCTCCTCATCCCTGACACCCCCACATGGACACAGCGCCCCTTCTCCTCATCCCTGACACCCCCACATGGACACAGCGCCCCTTCTCATCCCTGACACCCCCACATGGACACAGCGCCCTTCTCATCCCTGACTGACACCCCCACATGGACACAGCACCCCTTCTCATCCCTGACTGACACCCCCTCATGGACACAGCGCCCCTTCTCCTCATCCCTGACTGACACCCCCACATGGACACAGCGCCCCTTCTCCTCATCCCTGACACCCCCACATGGACACAGCGCCCCTTCTCCTCATCCCTGACACCCCCACATGGACACAGTGCCCCTTGCTCCCCAGGCCTGACCCCAGCTGATCCCCGTGCCCCTTCTGTGCTCTGCTCCCTGAGGCAGCATGCTGTCATCCCCTGAAGGAGTTGGGGCGCCACTCATTGCAGGGGCTGTGCCCAGCTCGGCTGCTGCCCTCTGCAGAGGCTGGCCCAGAGTGCAGGGAGTCAGGACAGACAGGCCCCCTCAGCCCGGGCCTCGCCTGCAGGAGCATAAGCTACCAGCACTCTGACGGCGCCTTGCATCACGCATGTGCACGTGAACTTGCCGTCAGCGTGTCCGTGTGGGCCTGTGACGTGGGTCAGGCTCGGCACACCTTGTGGCCTTGGGCTGCCCAGGGCCTGCTTGGCGAGCCCCGGCTGGCGAGGCACGTGAGCCAGGTCAGTGGCCGTGTGTGTCATGCCGCTGTCCCCCTG